AAAAAAAAAAAAAAAAAAGTTAGATGTCCACTTCTATGAATTTATTAAAAAACATTCAAATTTTTTAAATCAATGTTGAGAATCAGTGTGTGTGGCTGCCTTCCTTTAGGACCCTCACTTCCCCTCACCCTCATTTCACTTCTGTCACTTTCCACATTTTCTTTAAACCATCCAGAATTTTAGTTCTAGGTGATTTATTTTTATATTATGTGTTCCTTTGCCTAAGAACCATGTATTGACCACACGTTGTCCGCAACCACATGGCAAACAATTTTATTTCTTTGTTCATCACTGCTTTTTATCTTAAACATTCCTTTTTCTGCTTCATTTTTTCCATTATTTCGGAGGAACATGTCTTCAAGTAATTCTTTCAGGAAGTATTTGAATGTGGTGACCTTCCTGAACGCTTGCTTTTCTGAAATTGTAATTGATTTTGCCCTCACATTTAAATAATGGGTAGACTGGGCATGGAATTCTGGTTCAAAATTATTTTCCCTCAGAGTTTTGCAAACATCATTGTGTAATATCCCGTGCTCTAGATGAGAAGCATGCTGGGGTTGATTCTCATTCCTCACTTGATAGGACCCTCTAGGGTTTCAGTTTCCCACTCAGTAATAAGAAGTATTGACGAAAAGAGTCAAACTCTGTAAAATATTTGAAGAGATGTATTCTGAGCCAAATATGAGTGGCTGTGACCTGGGCCACACTCCTCAGGAGATCTTGAGGACAGGTGCCCAAGGTGGTCAGGGCACAGTCTAGTTTTATACATTTTAGGGAGACAGCAGACATCGATCAAATACATGTAAGGTTTGCAATGGTTCTATCTGGAAATACATGTAAGGTTTACAATGAGTAAGGGCAGGACAGCTCAAAGCAGTGCAGTCGGAGAGGGTTTTCGAGTCTAGGTAGATTTTAAATTTTTCTGATTGGCAATTGGTTGAAAGAGTGAATATCAACAGAAGGGAATGTCTGGTTGACAATGAGTGGTTGTGGAGACCAAGGTTTTATCGTGCAGATGAAGCCTCCAAGTGCTGGCTTCAGAGAGAAGAGATTGCAAATGTTTCTTAGCAGACTTGAGATCTGTGTTGATGTTAATGCTGGTTGGCTTTCCCTGAATTCCAGAAAGGAGGAGGATATTCTAAAGTATGTCTGAGTCCCATTTCCATCATGGCCTGAACAAGTTTTTCAGATTAATTTTGTACTGACCTGGCTGAAAGGAGGAGACCATTAAGATGGTCGGGAGGCCTTAGAATTTCAGTTTTGGTTTACAGAAGTTATGATTCATGCATGACCTTTGAAGTGCTCCCCTACTCTAAATTTCTATACTTTGGAAAATTTTACTAGAGTTTTCACAGTTTTTGAACCACACAACTTATTGTAACTTTGTTCCTTTGGGAAAATATGATCTGCTTTATCAGTACTTTAGGACAGGATTTGCAGGAATACATTGTGATGAAAATCAAGGATTCCTGGCCTTAAATTATTGCTGGGATGTGGATTCAAAGGGCAGGCCACTATTTCTCTCCTTTTTGTTGAGAACACTATTGACGCCGGGCTTGGTGGCGCGTGCCTGTAGTCCCAGCTACTCGGGAGGCTGAGGTGGGAGGATCGCTTGAGCCCAGGAGTTCTGGGCTGTAGTGCGCTATGCCAATCGAGTGTCTGCACTAAGTTCGGCATCGATATGGTGACCTCGCGGGAGTGGGGGACCAGCAGGTTGCCTGAGGAGGGGTGAACCAGCCCAGGTCGGAACCCGAGCAGGTCAAAATTCCTGTGCTGATCAGTAGTGGGATCGTGCCTGTGAATGGCCACTGCACTCCAGCCTGGGCAGCACAGCGAGACCCCATCTCTGAAAAAAAAAGAAAAGAAAAGAAAAGAAAAGAGAATACTATTGACTTTAACACACCACTTAACTTTAACTCTTAGTTTGCTAGGTAAATGATGTCAACCTAAAATAGTCAAAAGGATCAGAATCTAGTTTAAGCAGAGTTTATTCAAGTGCAAATTTTGAGGACAACCCTCTCTGGAAACACAGATTCCAAAGAATAGAAGTCAGTGTTCCAAAGTTAGCAAGTTTAGGGTCACTTTTATAGACAAAGCTTAGGGAAGTTTAACAGAATTTCAGCCTCTTTCTATGTAAAGCTTAATGCGTAGTCATAACAATCTCATTAGTCAAGGTGGTTCCTTTTGTTTGGGAAACGTATATTTAACATTCTACACTGAAGATAGAACTGTTGTGAGGTCCCTGTTTGGGGCACTATCTGGTCTGAGTTAAGTACAGGATAACAAAAGAGGCAGTTAATCTATCACAATGATCAGTGATTGGAAGATGGAGGACTGGTCTTTCCTAGTCAATGACAGAACAAGTACAGTGAGGAAGAGTTTAAGCTATAATTTAAAAAACAGAAGTTAAAACAATGTGAGGCCATAAAACTCAGATCACAGCCACATCTCTCTCAAAGCTTAAAGCATTTGAGGGTTTCCAACAGCTCTTAAATTTTCTTTATTTTCACAATGAAGATACTAATTTTAGAAAAATGTATTTAGATCTGAATTCAGTTTCAAATTTTGAAAAAATACCAGCATGAGCCCGGTGGGGTGGCTCATGCCTGTAAATCCAGCCACATAAGAGGCCGAAACAGGAGGGTCACTTGAGCCTAGGAGTTGAAGGTTGCAGTGAGCTATGACTTCCGCTGTACTCCAGCCTGGAGCGGCAGAGTGAGCCCACATCTCTAAAACAAAAAACAAAACAAAACAAAGTAAAAAAATTAAAAAAGGAAAAATACCAGCATGAACCGTCTTCTACAGCAAGATTCTTTCTGATCAGACACAGATTCAGAAAAGATTAAGCCTTCACATGTGTGCATGCAGCCCAGAGAAGATAATACTAGCTTCAAACACAGAACAAACCAAATATTTATATAACATAATAACCTTAAGGAAGTAATTACAAAAGATCACTCTAAAGCAAAGAAATTTTAATTCCAAATGTACAGCAAGAAAAATCTGTGTGCAAAATTTGCTAACTAATCTCAAGAAGTGAAAGTGGCAAGACCAATTTCTCTCTGTATCTCACCTGCGAGTGTGGGATATAGGTGTGCAGGCACACACATGGGCCACAGAGAGCTGTCCACGTTGTGGGCAGCCTTCAGATTTCTGTTCATACCCCCCCACCCTCCTGAAGCCTTCACAGAACACATGGCCCCCACTGGGCTCCCTGTGTTGTACTGGCCCGAGCATAGAAAGTCAACACCAAGACGAAAGTATGCCAAATTGCAGGGTCTTTATTGCCGGCAGCCACGGAGGACTCACATCTCTCCAACCCGTGGCCCCGAAAGGAGGGTGTCAAGACCTTTTATACCCGTAAAACCACCTCGGGGGTGAGGGTGAGGGGCAAGGGTGGGGGTGAGGGGCTTCAGGCATTCTGAGGGTTAGTGGATTGTGTAAATCACCTCCTGGGCGAAGATGAGGGTGAGGGGCTCCAGACATTCCAAGGAACAGGGGACTTTGGACATTCTGATTTGTTACTTAAGTGGTTCACAAAAGTCAAGATTAGCATTTGTTTACACATTGTCTGGGTAGGGTGGAAATTACAGTCCTTAATTACTTATTACAAGTTACAGGGGCCAAGATCGCCTGGGTTTGGACTGCTTGCCTGTCACATTTGGGTTACAGAGAGCAGTTTCAATAGAAAGCTGA